CCCAGCTACTTGGAAGGCTGAGGCAAAAGGATCACCTGAGTCTAGCAGGTAGAGGCTGTGAAAACTGTGAGCATGCCCACTGCACTCTATCCTGGGTGACAGTGAGACTCCAACTCAAAAAAAAAAAAAAAAAATCCAGGCCAGATGCAGTATATATATATATTATATATATATATATATAATATATATATATATGTAATTTCTTTCTTTCTTTTTTGAGTTGGAGTCTCACTGTCACCCAGGATAGAGTGCAGTGGGCATGCTCACAGTTTTCACAGCCTCTACCTGCTAGACTCAGGTGATCCTTTTGCCTCAGCCTTCCAAGTAGCTGGAACCACAGGCATGTGCCACCACACCCAGTTAATTTTTTGATTTATTGTAGAGATGAGGTCTCACCAAGTTGCCCAAACTGGTCTCAAACCCATAGGCTCAGGCAATCCTCTCATCTAGGTCTCCCAAAGTGCTGGAATTATAGGCATGAGTCACCATGCCTGGCCTTAATTTTTTAATTTATTGTAGAGATGACGACGCATTAGGTTGCCCATGCTAGTCTCGAATCCCTGGACTCACGCAATCATCTTGCTTCTGCCTCCCAAAGAGCTGGGATTAAAGGCATGAGCCACCACGCCCAGTTTATATACGTAATTTCAAGATGGCAAGAGCAAAGCATTAGACCTTTTTTTATTTTTTATATTTGAGTTGGAGTCTCACTCTGTCACCCAGGCTAGAGTGCAGTGGCACACTGACAGCCACCGCAGCCTCTACCTGCTGGGCTCAGGTGAGCCTTCTGCCTCAGCCTTTCAAGTAGCTGGAACTACAGGTACACGCCACCACTCCTGGCTAATTTGGGATTTATTGTAGACATGAGGTCTCGCCAAGTTGCCCAGGCTGGTCTCGAATCCGTGGGCTCAGGCAACCCTCTCACCTTGGCCTCCCAAAATGCTGGGATTATAGGCATGAGCCATTGCACCCAGCCTTAGATCCCCTTTTAAGCACAGGGCCTATGTGACAGTACAGGCTGCCTATCCATGAAGTTGGCCATTATGAGGACAAAGGAGTATTTTTGGTGTTATGGAATCTTGTAATACAGGGCTTTGACCTAATCATTGAGGGGCTTGTTACAGGAGGCTTTGGCCTAGTCAATGAGTTCTTTTCTGAAGACATAACCTGGCCAAAACCTTTTCTGACGGACGAGTAGAAATATATCGGCAAAGAGGGAAAGAGAACATTCCAGATAGAGGGAACATGTGCAAAGGCTCTGTGGCATGAGGGAACATGAAGGCAATGAAACTAGAGTGTCTGGAGCACAGAAGGCAAGATGCCCTGTGTAAGATAAGGCTGGAGAAGGACATAGGGACACAATAAGGCAAGAAGACATAGGCCCATGGTACAGAGGAGTTTGCATTTATCCTAAGACCACTGGGAAGCCATTAAAGGACTTTATGTAGTTGATGACATAATTAGTGTACCCCCCCAAGAATGTTTATGAACACAGGAGACTTTATACATCAATTGAATGAAGGAATGAAAGGAAAAAAATCACAAGTTGGCTCCCAGATTACTTCCTGGTAAAAACTATAACTTTGAGGGGAAAAAGTATTGGGGTTCTATCCTTAGAGAAAAATTGAGAGGCTGACCTGTGCAGTCTTGTCTAGTCCTGATATTTATTTTTTTGCTGGGCACCGTGGCTCATGTCTGCAATCCCAGCACTTTGGGAGGCAGAGGATTGCCTGAACTTAGGAGTTCGAGACCAGCTTGAGCAACGTGGCGAAACCCCGTCTCTACAGCAAATAAAAAAATTAGCCGGGCGTGGTGGTGCATGCCTGTGGTTCCAGCTACTTGGATGGCTGAGGCGGAAGGATCGCCTGAGCGCAGCACGTTGAAGCTGTGGTGGCTGTGAGCATGAGCGTGCCACTGCACTCCAGCCTGGGGGTGAGAGTGAGACTCCTACTCAAAAAAAAAAAAAAAAAAAA